GGAAATATATGCTAAACACTAAATTTACAGCTGAAAAATACAAGAATCTTTTATTTATATACATATATATATCCCTCTAAAGTTGGTGATTTTTGTTTTTTTTTCCCAATAAACTAGGGTTTATTATGTATATATCCATAGTTTGGTAGGGATACATATGTGGAACCCAAGATTTACATGGGAAAAATACGAGAATCACTAATGTATACGTATATGTGTGTATATACCAAATTCAGAAATTGTAAATATATATTTATTTATAGAGAATCACAAACGATGCAAAGAAGAGTGATGCATTGCAACCAATTTATTTCCAGCTTCGCAATTAGGAGTAAAGGAGTATGTCCCAGCATACCTTGGCACACATCTTGATGCCCAGGAGCTGCTCACTGGCATCAGCTTTGCATCAGGTGGCTGTGGATATGATCCTCTCACATCACAACTCTTGGTATCTCCCTGCACCCAACTGTGCGTCTCCTGCACTTTGATCTGTACAAGATCGAAGTTTCTGGTGTTGACATTGCTCTTGTTTCAGGTAGCTCTGTCGCTGAGGCATCAGCTGAACCTGTTCAAGGAGTACAAGGAGAAGCTAAAGAGGGTTGCTGGAGAAGGCAGAGCAGCCGACATCATTGCCAACAGTTTATATGCTGTGGTCACAGGGACTAATGACATTGCTACAACATACTTTCTGTTGCCATTCAGAAGGGCGGAGTTTGACATCCCTTCCTACATCACATTCTTGGTGCAATCAGCTTCAAGCTTTCTTCAGGTAACTGATTATATATATATATATATATATATATATATATATATATATATATATATATATAGGATTTGGACCTCATTCGATAAAATTTATTACTTGAATAATGAAGATAATACTTAATCTCAAGATGTTAGTCCGATATGTGATCATCATATCAATATTTTAAGTAAACTTTACTTAGCTTACAAATAAAATGTGCGACAAAGAAGATTTTTGTTACTTAGTTGGTCACCCTTAAACATTGCTAAAGATTCAACTTTTCATGCTAACGATCATGAATGGCAACTCAACACAGGAACTCTACCGCTCGGGAGCAAGAAGAATTGCTATCATGGGAGCCCCTCCTATAGGATGTATGCCATCACAAAGAACTCTTGCTGGTGGAATAGAGAGAGAATGTGTTACCCTGTACAATGAAGCTGCAACGATGTTCAATTCCCAACTATCAAAGGAGGTGCAAAGGCTCGATAGCACACTGTTGGGAGCAAAAATAGTCTACATAGACATATACACTCCATTGCTTGATATGATCTTGCGGCCCTTCGCCTACGGTAATTTTAGTAATAAGAGGATATATAGAGAAAGACCTAAAAAGATTTCATTTGAAATCATAAATAAAAATTAAAGTACATAAAATCATACAGCCGATTATTATGATGCTTTAGCACGACTTTGATTATAATTTTTTTCTCTCAGGTTTTAAGGAGTCCACAAGAGGATGTTGTGGCACAGGTTACTATGAGGTTATAATCACATGTAATAGCATCACTGCAACTTCATGTGCAAATGCTTCAGAGTATGTATTCTGGGATAGCTTCCACACTACAGAGAGGGCAGCAGAGATGCTCATTACCCAAATTCTTCAGCAGTATGGTCCAAGTTTGCTTGACTAAAGCTAATTTACCTTCCCTTTGGTACTACTACCAGACATGCCATCTCAATTAATTCTACATTGTCCAAGGTTTATAATTGGGCTGATTCCTACTGATATGTAACCAATGTTTTAATGTTATTGACACCGTTTGTATCTTTTCAGCATCTATGATCAGCTTAGCTTTATATGCATCCTACCGAGTTCAGTCTCTTAATATTTTTCAAGTAGTAAGCTAAAAACATCAACAAGCTTTAAATGGCACAAAAACGAAATGATTCTACTTGACATTCATATGCAAATTATGCAGATAGTGTCTTGTCCAGATTAACAATACTATGTACAGCTAAAAGACAAGAAAACTTGACATGCAAAAAATATCCAGCACCAAAAACCAAAAGTCCATCCATTCTTCTTAAAATTGAAAGCTACATGTCTCTGATAATGTCTGTTGCTTTAGATAATTTCCTGTACTGAGCTTTGCCTTCCTGTGTGCTCTAGCAAACAAGCCCGGTTGTCGGGGATAAGTGATTAGCATCTAATTGCCAAAAGAAAAAAAAAAAAACTAATTGCTACTGCACAAATAGCAAATTTTTTTTTTCCCATGTTGCAAACAACTAAAATGTAAAAGAGCAAGGTATTTTAGACATGAGAACAAAATGAAGAAACAAGCATATACAAAATATAGCAAGAACTGTACAAAGAACTCAGTATATGTTAAAAGGACATATGACCAACTTGATCTGAGCTGATGATTCCATCTATATGCCCTCTTAACTTCTAAAACCTGAGGCAGCAACCATAAGCTGCTAACCCTGCACATGGCATTATGAAAGGAAAAGAAGGCATATACATTGAGTAGCTAACGGAAAGAAATATATGGAAAATTGATGAAGATAGGAGTGTCAACGGAGCTTATTCTGGGCTACTGCCTGACAGAGCTCTTCCTCATAGAATAGAACTCTAGTAGAAGCAATGGGCTTGAAAACTGGCCTTGATAAACATGGCGGCATCATGTGTCTTGGGGGCAGTGTGGGCTCCTGAAATAGGACAGCTGCAATCTGTTTCACGTCCATCAGGTGAAGACGAGAAGAACGACAACCATGTCTTGGAGCTTTAGGAGTGTGTGGACTAGATCCCCACGTACCCTTCCTTCCTGCTTTGCTGGATATGTACAATACTTTAAGCCAAGAAAAAGAAATGTGAGGAAATTAGCAAGTTCTGAGATGCATAAGCATCAAGACATACCTTGCAAAAGGCCAATGTTCAGTTGGAAGGGGGGTCTTATTTCTCAGCATCTCTTGCCTAGACCGGTCGGGAGTTGTATAATTGAAATGCAATTGCCTAGCCATAAGTACCTGGTCCAAATTTCAATTTGGAAAATTTAATTAAGGACTGTGAAACTGGACATCTTCAAACTCTTATGGCAATCATAAATCAAAAGTCAATTATATTGACTTAAGATAAGCTTAAGATAATACTACAGGAAACAGCTTTGCGAAGAATGTATGTTGACAACTTTTAGTTGAAAGTACCATTGCCATCACGGTAAGCACTACCTTCTACAACCACTAACAAAGATTCAGGTTACACAAACAAACTCCACTCGCATGATTAAGGCTGCATATGATATCCCTCTATAGACACCACATTGGTGTGAGTTTCATGCAGAAGATAGAAATTAATCATGCAAGGTCTAGGAATTAAGAGAAACTAATTAATTTTAATGATATTGTGAATCAATGGAAAAACATGTTCTTTGCATAGGCATCAAGATAAAGGCTCTAAACTAAATGAGTCCAGCAGAGCAGAACAAAAGAATTTACCCAAACAGATAAAACTAAGAAAGCATCAAAGAAATCTAAGTTGCAAAACTGAAGATGTCCCAAAGGTTTAAGAATATCTCAAATTAAAAAGCTTATACATGTATGCCACTTTGGGATCTATGAAGGTTGTAATTATGCAACTTCAACCCACATTTACAATTGACACATCCACAATTCTAACTTGACTCCTAAATCAAAGTAGGGATATCAACAGCACAAGATAGAGAATACTTCCCTATCCCCCCATCCTGCATCCCCGCCCCATTCCCCATTTAGACAAAGCAGGAAAGAGGATGGAGCCATTGGGGATGAGGAACCCATAAGTTCTCGGAATCCTCCTAATTAATTCATTTATTTTTAAAAAAATAAAACTATTATCAAACATAATTAACAATACTAAAATATAAACATAACAAAAAAATAAATATATTCAAATATAAGTATATCAAAATTATCATAACTCATGGAAGAGACAGGAGGAAGATAAAGGATTGGGAAAGGGCACGAGGGCTACAACGACCAATAAGGTGGGGCTACAAGGTGGGCGAGGATGACTGCGATGAGGGGGCAGGGGGTTGCAGCAGTTATGATGAAGGGGCGAGGTGCTGCAATGAAGGAGAAAGCCGAGAAGACGGAAGAGGGAGAAGGGAGTATGCAATTGGAAGAAAAGGAGAAAGAGAGAAGAACACCAAGGAATCAACATCGTTATTCATGATTCACCATTTGCAAATGCCGATCATCGGAGAAATCACTATTTACAGATGGAGAGAGAAAGAGGACTGATGAAGACAAAGTCAAACAACCGTTGCAACACCGCCTGCCATAAGACATTGGGTGCTCGCAACGCATGAGGCCACAAGGAGGAGCTATTACTATTAAATGATGAGATGTTTCATTTGATTCAATTGAACCAAATGATTTTTAATTGAATCATAATTGATTCAATTAAGATTCACATTATCTAATTTGAATAATGAAAATCTTGCTCGTCTAATGTTTGGGCCTAGCATCTCAGCCCACTTATTAATGGATCAAGTACAAGTATGGGTATAGGGTGGGGAGTGCTCTACCCATCCCTGTCCCTTATTTGCATGGGTAACGTAAAATGCCCACCATCCCCATTTATTTTTCCTATCCCCACCCCATTAGGGGCAGATCCCCATGGGTACCAATACCCATGGGTATAATTGACATTCCCAAATCAGAGTGGAGCATGTCTACTTTCATGCCATGACATGGACATCATAGTTAGGGATTGAATCTTCAGAAACCAGTACCGTCTCTTGCTAAATCAGTAATGCAGTAACTACTCTGATACAATGGGCAAAAAGTACAAGGAAACAACAAAAGAACACTTACAGCTTTTAGAATTCGCTGTAATGCAGTACTGTCTCTTGCTAAATCAGTAATGCAGCAAGCAACTACTCTGATGCAATGGGCGAAAAGTACACTGAAACCACAAAAGAACACTTACAGCTGTTCGAATTCGCTGAGAAACATGGAAAACAGCCCTTAGCTGATCATGATGCAGATGGCATAGGATTTTAATCTTAGAACAAGAAAACCAAAGCAATTAGCAATAATATCAGCATTGCAATGCTGACAAATACTAGTTGCCAGAAACAAAATTCTGAAGCTTGTTAGTGCATACCAGAAGATCCATAGGGAGAGTTTCAAGTCTTGATTGCCTGTCGCACACTGCACTTTGTGGTGTCTTAGGTGTTACAGGCAGGTTTTGATGTTTGGCCTCATCTATTGCTGGCTGGGAGCTGACCTTAGTGGGAGACATCACAGGTGTATTACTTTGAATAACCTCAGCTTCCCTCATTAGACCAATTTCTTCCTTCTCTGACTCCAACACAGTCCTCTTCTTCCCAATATCTGTGCATGATTTGCTTGACGTCTTGTTATAACAGATTTGGGCAAGTGCACCAGGTTTTAGATACTTGTTTCTTGTGTTCTTCAGTCGCTTCTTTTGCTTGAAAGCCATAGAGTTCAGACTCATGGGGTACACAAATAAATCATAAATCCTTATTCTTCAGTATATCTTCAACCACCATTACGTTCAAGCTACATTTGACAAAGACAAAACTGATTCAGCATACACGATATAAGAGGAACTTTTCTAGTACAAAAACAAAACAAAGACAAAATTAATTGTACTGGTAAATAGGACCAAGTGCACAATACAGGGGTCATCTCATGGTTGAGTAAATCAGCTGCACAATAATCAATAACTTCTTTTGTCATTATTTGTAACAGCCATCCGCAATCTGAATTTCCATTTGCATAACAACAGCAAGAGCATATTCATGTTTGGTCAAGAAAAGGATAAAGAAATTGAATGAACAAGACATCAGCCTTCAAGAAATCAAATTATACAGCATGGACACAAAAATGTGTTAATGTTCAAGAACGAGGACCAAAGATATCTACAATCAATTGTATAGAAGTTGCTTCAAGAATTTGTAAAAGCTTGCCATGTACACTAGTAAATCTGTGAACAGGAGTGATGATAAACACACAGCCAACAACAAGTAGTTGAGAGAAGGCTCAGTGTTTGTCATTGATGGTAATTTGACTGTAAATAGACTTCATTACTCTTATCAGAAATATGAAAACAACTAGTAAAAGTATTAAATCAACTTTAAATCTGGTGATCTACTTGCCCTGCAGCAATAAACCAATTTTAGACTGATTGAAGAAACAGCTATCAGTTTCCTAGTGCCATCTGCAGCTATATAAAATCAAACGGAATGAGCAAACGCATTGTGTCTATCTAGTTGCTGTAACCAAAGACTAGCCGATAAACATAAACATGATAGTATACCGGATAAGCTATATCCAACTTGAAGTGCAAAGCAACAATTAAGAGAATCAAATCAAATTAACCAAAATCAACTTTATATCTGGGTATTTACATGCTCCTCGAGCAAATAACCAAATATATACTGATTAAACAAACAACTACCCATTCCCTAATTCTGATCTTTAGCTCCATAAAATCAAATGGAAGAAGTAAACCGGTTGTAGCTACCAAGTTTGTGAACCCAAAGACCAGTCAATAGGCAGAAAGATATCCATCTCGAAGGGAAAAACACTGTTTGAGAAAGGTTACTTGCTTTGCATACCCCTCACGGGAATTATCAAAGCCAATCCAGATAAACACGATACTGCACTTGCACAACTCTCTAAACACCAGAACATACAGTCTGCCTTCCACATTCCCTTACGACGAAGGATACTCTATTTCACTCGGAACGATACCCACAAAGCCCTACCTCAAAGTCCACACGCCCTATTGAAACGATTACCTCGAGGCATCATTATGAACCCTAAAATCCCCTCTCTTTTTTCCGATGATTGTGGATACGTACACGATTCAATTCAAGAATCAAATAACCAAGCAATAATCAAATACACTCCAGGAAGATGCATCGTGTCGGAGAACTAACCCGATAGACCATCAAAAGGCTCCAACATTCAACTACAGCGAGATAAGAACAGAGAGGCAAAGGATAGCAACAAACTACATCCAGAAACGATACAGAGGTGATATCGTATACCGGAATCCAATCACCATCATCTCAGCTGGGAGGCGAAGGCTGGAAATCGAATCCCGAGACCCCAAAATCCTAAGCAAAGCAGCAACAAACAACGAAACTAACTTAGAGTCGCGGCGTTGGCATCGAGGAGGAGAATGGGGATGCCAAAGAGAGGCGCGGGAACTTTTTATTCCCTCTTTTTCGAATTATTCGCGCCAAATATTTTCGACCGCAGTCCTGTTTAATCCAACGTGGCGAGCTCCGATTGGCTCCAGGCCTCGTTTTCGGCCCGTTAGGGCCCGCGGATGACGTCAGGCGCTCGGTCGGAAGGAGGAGATGAGGAGGGTAAATTAGGAGATTAAGGGGCTTTGAACTCCAACGTGGCGAGCGCGCATTGGGCGCCCACTCAGTCGTGTGGGTCGTTAGGGTCGTCGATGACGTCAACCGCACAGATCGGACGGCGGAGAGCGCGCGTGGTTTCGTTTGATCATTAAGGAGCGAAAATTAGGAGATTAAAGATGAAATTTAGGGGTGTTTTTTGAATCAATTACGGAGGCAGAATCTCGAATTAGTAATCTTTTAGGTTGGATTTTAAGGTGTCTTATGTGGATAAGATAAGGCGTTAAGGTTGATGCGGATGGATTAGGGGATATATATGGTTGAGGAGATAAGGAAACTTTGTTATTTTAGTTGGCAATGGTATAATTATCTTGCCCTTATATTTGAATTCTATATATTATATATATTTATATATAATTTAATTTAAAAAATGATTTATTTATATGGTTGAGAAGAATTGTTAAAATTATTATTTTTAAAAAACATTAAAATTTTCTTGTAAAATCCTAAATGATCATTTTTAAGTATTTAAAATATATTTTTATTTGATTTGAATACTTAAATGATACAAATTCAACATTTCAAGGGTTAAAATTAATTAAAAATATATATTTCAAAGGCTTAAAAAAAGAAAAATAATAGTCATTTAGATCTTTGAAAGTCATTTTCAAGATTTTTCTGAGAATTCATTTTTTGTAATATTTACTAAAAATTAAAAAAATATTTATTTATAATTTATATAATATAATTATTTATTATTTTGACCCCTTCCATTTCTTCGATCGTGGGGTTGGGTTGACTTTGGACACCGAGATTTTGGAGGCTTTGACTGCTGTATTAAAGAGAAAACCAAGTAATGTACCATCTCAACACTTCAAAAACACTTGAAAATGGCCTTGTGTTACAATAGATCAAGTCATCCACAAAGAATGGTCAACTACAAATGATGAACAAAGATAACTTTTAAGAGTATTAAAACATGTATGAGAAAAGATGAAATAAATGTTAGAGATCAACAAAAATCAAGTTGCCCGATGATGATATTACACTAGAAGTATAAAACGATATCATTAAATTATGATGGGTCAACTCTACGACAGAGAAAGAAAATAAAACGATTGATCGTGTAGTCCCCCACGCTAAGAGATAATTGTATGGGGTTGACTTGGTGGGGGGAATATTCCCTTCAAAATTGAGAACTAAAAGCAACTTGTGCAAGGGATTGACTGGTCTTCTCTTCCACCTTCTCAGCTCCTATTTACCTCACACTTCGTGCCTCCTACTTTCTCTCTCTCTCATTACTGTATCGAGGATATCTGCTCTAATTAGTTAGTAGTCCTCTTACCTAAATGAGATAATTGTATGGGTTATTATGTAGTAATTTCCAATAAAAAAGAAGAAAAAAAACCTGAGCTAAGCTCGTGCAGGGCGTTGACTTCTCTCTTCCACCTTCACCGTTCTTCTTCAGCTCTAAATTGTGCCTTCTACTCTCTCTCTCTCTCTCTCTGTACATGTTGATGAGTGCGGTTGTAGGACGCCTGCAAGCATGTCGCGGAGCGCCCCGGTTGTCCCCATGTCCCAGTCTCCCCGAGATGACCTTGAGTCGAGGCAGCCGCCGCCGCCAGGGTGCAGGAGGTTTCCGTCAGCCTCACCGGCGTCCTGCTATTTGCCCAAGTTCGCGAAGCCCGGCCTTCCTCTCGTCAAGAAGGTTTGCATGAACCATTTCTCCTCACTGGTGTTACCTCAAAGTCACCTTGAACTCTCAAAGAGAGAAGCACCTTTGACCTTTCAATGTTATGCAGCATGAGATTTAGTTATGTATGAACTCGTTTCGAACATTTTCTGGTCCGAATTCCATTGAGCTTCTTCAATTTTTGTTGATGAGCATAAAAGAGATGGAAGTCAATGCTTCTAACTAAAGTGCCAATTCCAATTAGACAGCTAACATGACCGAGGAACACAAACCCTATCGAGCTGAGAATTCAAGTCGAATGGAATGACAGGTGATCGCCGAGTTCGTGGGCACCTTCATCCTCATCTTCAGCGCGGCGGCTACGCCGATAGTGAACCAGAAGTACGACGGTGCCGCAACCCTTCTCGGCGCCGCCACCTCAGCCGGACTCGCCGTTTGCGTCGTCATCTTTTCCATCGGCCACATCTCCGGCGCCCATCTGAACCCTTCCGTCACTATCGCGTTCGCCGCCGCCCGCCATTTCCCGTGGAAGCATGTCCCCGGATACGTACTGGCCCAAGTGCTGGGCTCTACCGCCGCGTCCTTCGCCCTCAAGGCCATCTTCCACCCCTTCCACTCCGGCGGGGTGACTGTCCCCACACTGAGCACAGCTCAGGCCTTCTTCCTCGAGTTCGTCATCACCTTCACTCTCATGTTCGTCATCGTCGCCGTCGCAACCGACACCCGTGCAGTAACGATCTGCCACACCATATCTACACACACACACGCACACACGCATTCTGCTTCCCTTCTCTTCGTCTCATGTCGTTCTTCCACGTGCGTGCAGGCGAGAGAACTGGCAGGAGTGGCTATTGGGGCAACTGTGCTGCTCAACATCCTCGTTGCTGGGTAAGTATCCTGCATGCAGAATACCGAAGTCGATTTGGATGTGATTGATGATGGCATTAACTCAGGCCGTCGACGGGTGGATCGATGAACCCGGTGAGGACGCTCGGGCCGGCGATAGCGACCGGAAACTACGAGGAGATATGGATATATATGATTGCACCAGTCGCAGGAGCCATTGCCGGAGCTTACGCCTACACTGCCGTCAAACTTGGAGCAGAAGATCAGGAAGAGTCTCAGCCATGACGACGCACTGCGGTGTATGGAAGAGGAATTATTGTGGGAGAAATATCATCTCAATTAATTAATTAATTATATATATATATATATATATATATATATATAGAGAGAGAGAGAGAGAGAGAGAGAGAGAGAGAGAGAGAGAGTTTGAATGTTTGAAAGGATTTATAAATACTATAATAAAAATTGAAGGAAAAATATATAATTTACAAACAAGCTTTTCTTAGAAACTCCCAATAATTGAGGGGTGATAATCAACAGCGATAATAAACGTAGAGAGTGTCAACAATCATAAGGTACATATGGAAAATAAAAATAAAAATTAAAGAATATAAATAATAAAAATATTATATTATTATGAAAAATAATAAGGTTATCAATAGTACAAAAATGTTCTAAAAAATAAGCTCCAGTTTTAAATAGTAAAAAAAGTTCCAAATAGAAATCCATTTTAAGTAAAATATAATATATTTACCCTCATATCGTCGAGCACATGGCGTGCACCGTAGCGCACGAGGAAAACAGAATAGAAGCGGAGTGAGGCAGCGAGCGCCCTCGATCGTTTCCTTGTTCGCTTTCTAAGTCATCGAAGAACCGTTTCTTTTAGATCAACAGCCGAATGGATAAAGGTGGGATGGACGCGGCGCCTCCTCCACCTCCTCGATCCCCTGCATCTCTCAGGTGGTCGATCCTCCGCAAGTCGCTCCTCCGTCGTCCCTCTGCCGCACCAGGTTTTTCACCCAACATAAAACCTCTTTTTCTAGTTTGGAGTCGTCCGGGTTCGATGCCAAACTTCCATCACTGTGATCATCCAAATTTACCGGAATTTGACATTAGGTTTTTTGCCTTTTCTTTTACTTGGTGATCACAACGATTCCTGATTTCTCTCATCAAAGTTATGACTAGCTTTAATCCGCTCAAGTGGGACGCAGATGATCCCTCGGAAGTGAACACCAAGAACGTATCCAGGAAAAGAGGTGGTGTCTTTAACCTGATCCCGTGTCACCCGGTTGACGATAGCGATTCAGTGGAAGTCGTAGAAGCTACCCTGCGGGCGAAAGATCTCGTCGGTCCACGTGATGTCTGCACACGCTACAAATTACCTTTGGAGAATGGTCCTGGACTTGTTATGATGTAAGTACTTCATCTGTAAGATCATTGTAATTGTTGCTGTCAGTGGCTTTCTATGGGGTAATATCTCAGCTTAATTAACTCGTTCGATATCTTTGCCCTCATCTCGGCCGTTTCATTTGTTCTCTACCAACAGCGATTTCTTTTTCCTAACATGATTGCTGAAGCTAACAAATGGCTTCAGTTCCTGAGCAGCTCACTTGATAAAGAATGTAAACTCATACGAAGCATCTTTGTCTATGTAATTCTTCTGATAAAGAATCAATTAGTACGTGGGTTGTGAATGTTGATATCTGCAAATTTAACCTGATCGTGTCACATCATTTTGCTCATATGATGATCTCACTTGGTCACTTTTAATATTTGTTTATTTGGCATTATCGGTTTACAAATGTCTTACTAATATGATTGTTCTTGTGTAAATTGCCAGTTTATTTCATCAGCATAACATTTCTATGTGTCAAATATTGTGCGACAACTGCTCTCTTTTTTATTCTTTTTCAGCCAAAGAATGGAGGATTGTGTTGACCTAAATGATTTTGAGATCTCCACTAGATTTGATATCGACACCACGGGGTTAGTTTGTAAGTTATTTTGAACCCTCATCAGAAATGCTGACTACTTGTTTTTTCAGGGCAAGATTTGATCTCTTCTGTTGGATTTAGCATTTTCCATATGGTTTTATGGATATCAGAACATTCTTTTCTTAATTATTAAGTATCATAGGAACAATTTTGAGATTACTTCTCGTGTTTAATCTTTATATGTTTTGGTCAAATTTTCCTCTCATTTTTTGGTTATACTATTTTTGCTTG